ACCACATACAAGGAAAAAGCCAGAAGTGGTGCTGTGGCTCAAGTGGTAGAGTGCTAGCCTTGAGCAAAAAGAAGCTCAAGGACATTGCCCAGGTCCAGAGTTCAAGCCCAGGACTGGCAAAAAAAAAAAAAAAAGTCAGTAGAACATTCAAGTAAAAGAAAACTTACCATATACCACTACTGGAATTTTTAATGAAAGGAACTAAATTTGCTTAGCACTTGGTGATTATTATTCTGTATTTCAGAGCCCACATTCCTAAACCATAAGAAATACAACTCTTAACACCATCTGAAAAACTAAGTGCTCTGAATACCTTTTGCTTAGATATAGATCTGTAAGTTAAAACAATTCTAAAGCAAGTTACATGTGTCACTGTTTTCATATGTTAATAAAAATGGCAGTTTAGTTTGGAACAGTAAAAGTACTATACTTTTTTAAATATTTTTATTATAAAGATACTGTACAAGGGCTTACAGTTACATGAATAAGGTAATGAGTACATTTCCCATGGAGCATTGTTACCCCTCCTTTGTTTTTCCCCTACTATCCCTTCCTTCCCCACCTCCCCAACTCCTTCCTCCATGACCCCTCCCCCAAAGTTGTAAAGTTTGTTTTCAACATAGTATCTTGTACATCTCATTGTTACAATGGGTCAACCTGTATCCTTGTTTCAGCATTTTATTATTTCCCTTCCCCTCCCCAAATTAAATAAATGTATATACAAGATGAAGATGCAGGGCACCAGAATCAAATACAGTGACAACAGGGGTTATACTATGGGGGAAGAACATACAAAAGAAATAAAATCACATAGTACATTAAAAACAGAAAACCTCTTGTGTCTATATCTTGGAGTTCATTTCACTTAGCATATACTCTTCTTTTTTAATGAAATTTTATACTTCATACCCTAATGATAAGTTCTAATCACTATAATTTTTTGAAATAATGTGAATTTTGTAAAAAAATCATAGAAAGTCTTATTATTATAGAAATATATGTATATATAGCTGTAAAGATCTTGTTAGTATTTTTAGTTTTTGTTGAGTTTTTTGTTAAGAAGCCTGTTAGACAAGAGATCAAGCATTAATACAAGAGAGTCTAGTATCTTTATTAATTTAATCAAGGTTTGTTTTTTCTTAATCCTCCAAGAAAGATGGCTGACTTATTCCAGTAAATACATGGTCACATATTTGGCATCAGATTGAGTCAGTTGTACCTCAGAAATATTTTTAGGAGTGTTTCAGTGTGACCTAAAGACATATATATTTGATTTATATAACTTACCTGGAAACTACAAATTGTAATAATTTACTTGGGGACAATGTTAGAAACTGTTTCCAAATAGTGTTCTTTTATTAATATTATCAGTATTCAATAATAGTTACCAAAATTTAACCAAACACTTTATATGCAAAGATACTGTTCAGAACTAGGGAATTGGATATTACATAAATAGCAGTTTTATGCCTTTTGAGTTTTAACATGAATCTTAAAAGATAAATACAGATGAGTTTTGAATGAAGAAAAACTTTTGAAGGCTATGAAATAAAATATGCTAAATATAAACTATCAGACAGACATTTTAAAAGGTTGTAAACTAGATTTATGAACAAAATAACCTGATTGTTTCTTAGGACACTTTAATACATGTCACTAAGCAGTAGATTAACACATACCTTGATAACTTCTTTTGGAAGTTAAGTTTTTGAGCACTAATAGATGTTTAAAATTTCTTTCTTTCAGTAAATTTAATAGTGTCAGAACCAGAAACAAGCGAACATTGTAGCATTAATTCAAGAAGCAAAGTAAAGACAACTTTGCAATTGTTCTCTTGAGCGGATTCATGTCTATTACATCTAAGTTTAGTTTAAAGCAAAGCCTATGAATCTATCATGATGATCATATATCACATTTAGGTCCTTTTACTGTATATCTAAAATAAAAAAATAAGCGAAATCCAAAAGTCTCAAGTTTTATCAAATACTTGTTAAATAAGTGAATATTAATAATTGGTAAAGTGAATGTTAATCATTGGTAATATATTTAAAAGGAAAACCAAGCTTACTTGTAAGCCAGGCTGTGTGGGAGGCAGAGACAGGAGGGTTGCAGATGAAGGGTCCTTGGGCAGAAATCAGTGAGACCTTATATCAAAAGCAAACCAAGCATGATGGCATATTCTTTTGGTTCCAGTTACTTAGAAGGTTGAAGTGGAAAGTTGAGGTTTGAGGTCTTATTGTAATATTCTATCTGAAAGTCAAATTATAACCCAAAATGATCTCTAGGAAGATGGGATGTTTGATTATTACTAAATTCAATGCCAGAGGAAGAAGTGAAGGAAGAAAGGACAGAAGAAGGTAGAAAGGGAGGGAGAATCTAGTTTACCATTATAATTTAAATATGGACATTATTATATTTGTTAAAATACCAATTTATTTATTTCAAAACCACAAAATGTGTGTAAGCTTTAAAGATGCCTTTTTGATTTTAATTACTTACATTATGGTTTCTGTACTTTTTATTATTAGCAAAATAAAAATTCATTGATAATGGATTTTTACAAATGCATAAAATACATAGCTAGAATATTTAGCAAAAAAAACTTTTTAAAGTAGAAATGTGGCTGAATATTTTATATTTGTAAAAGTCTTCCAAGAAAAAATAATGCTATAAAATCAGAAATTTCACCTGTGGTTTAAAACTTATGCACAGTATTTTTGTTGTTGTTTTCATTTCTTGGCATTTAACTGAATCTCTTGGCATTTGATTGTCCTTCATTTGTAACTACTTTCCTGGCCTTTCCACCATGTAACTACTTTCCTGGCCTTTCAAAGAAATAGATGTGTAACTTTGAACATCTCTGTTGGGCTCTTTGCTTCTTAGCTCCACAAGTCTAATTTAAAATTCATGATACATACTTACTTAATTTTTGATTTATGATCTAAAACATTGTCTTAACTCAGGAACCTTTAGTCATATGATCTCAACTCTAGGCCATTTTATATTCCATATTGTGTATTTGCTCAACAAGTTTTTAATACATTTACCAAGTGAAATTTAAGAAAGTTAAAACATTTCCTTATGTTTGTTAACAAAAAAAAGGAAATCTTGGGAAATCTATTTATTCAAAAAACAGGATTACATTGTCATCTTAAACCTTTTGTTTTTTCTTCCCTATACTTTAACTGAACCCATTGTTAAACATACATTCATTCTTTATATACACTAAGTGAAAGGTATGTAATCCAAATAGAGTATATTATTATGTCCCTGCTTTGCAAATACAAAATAGTAAATTGATTTTTATTCTGAGAAATGTCTGAATCGTAGTATATGGAAGGTTAGAGTTTATAACAAATGACCAAAGTTTAGTTTTGTAATAATCAGTTACCTTGAATATGTTGTCAGAAAATTAAGAACTTTCAGCAAAAAATAATAGGCATCCTCACTTTTCTTAGTTCATAGTTATATAACCTAATACAGCTTAGTTGTTCCTAGTTGCTTAATAAATCAATTATTGCTACTTGGTTTGAAATATGGTGCCTCTGTGTTAAATAGTAGGAGGGAAAAATGTCTAACTAGGTTCAGTTTGTCCATAATTCAATAGATACTATAAATTATAAATCTATTTTTATTTGTTACTTCCTTCTTACTTTCACATTTGGTCAACAATGGGCTAAGGAAGGAAGAATACTCATTGTTTACATAATGAGCAGGTCACTTTTATTCAATGCTACATTAATTTTTTCACTAAGAGTACTGTTGTAAAGTACAGAGCCCTTAAGCATTATGAAGTTGCTGTCTGGTTTTGCTCATTGATATGGCTATTGTATTTGAATGTCTCAGTCACTCTAGAGTGAAAGGTTTCATCACTTCTTAAGAATGATGTTTCTTTCATTTTAAATTTAGTTACATTTAATTGCACTGTTGTGGTTTGAGATTCTATAAACATATTTAAGCCTGATTTTTCTTGTTTCTTTATTTAAAACTTACATCACTTAAACTAACATATAATTAGAGTGCTGCTATAATCCATAAAATCCAGATTTGTTTCCTTTAGCAAAAACCAAGGGCCAAATAAACCAAAAACTTTGGTGTCATGTGTATATTTTTTAATCATTTTTCTTTTCATCCATTATATAAATTATACCATTTGTCTAGAATTGCCCAAGAGCTAAGGAACAGTCACCAGAAGGCTGGAGTTATGGGGTGGGACTGATATGGGAGGAACAGAGTTTTCTCTCCTCTGGGGACTGAGACTGTTGAAGGAGAGGGGAAACCTACAATTATCAAGTAGATAGCAAAGGGACTGTGTTTCTGTAGGCACATGCTTCAGTAGAAAAAAGGTTAGTGCAAGTTTTTCTTGGGGTGCCTTTCTGAGCAGGCAGACAGCTTCTACATCCAGAAGGCTGTGTCTAGCATTCCTAGACCTCTTTTCATCCTGGTAGAAAGATAAAATCTATGATGACAATTAAGTACCTCCTCATCTTTTAAAAAAGAAAAGCTATTTTAAAAATCATATCAAATTTATACTCTAAAATAGCAAATGAGACAACATCACTACAACTATGAAAGTGACCTACAGATATGCCTGTATTATTGATGCTGGTATTGGACTAATGAGGAGCATGACCAGTCATAGTGAGGGTGAAGGAGGATGCAGAAAGAAAAAAAAAAGATGCTATTTTGAACACTAAACAGGGATTGCAGTGAGAGATGACAGAATCTGATTCCTGGGATGGCAGGGTCAGTTTGGATTGAACTGTTGAACCTGGAAATACAAAGCAACTCTGCTTTGAGGGTAAGATGTGACAGAATGTCTCTTTCTTGTGCAGCAACAGTCTCTATTCACTATGGCTTTTAAGGTTCATTTCCTTCAAATATAAAAGCCTTGACACTTTTACATCTAAGACATCTGGAACTCCTATAAACTTTCATATCGGAAGCAGCAGTGTGCTCTTTTATTCCATAAACTGGTTAATATTTGCTTCTTCCATTAGAATCTCAGATTCTAGCCATCTGTCTGCACCTGTCAACACAGGTATTTAGGTTTCCACTTGTATCTAGTTGTTTTTGTGGCCCAGTTCTTTACCGTATTCTATCATTTTGGAAACCATTTGACTCTCCCTACCTTTGTAGTGACTTTACCACAAATTTTGGTACTTGCTTCTGGTATAGTTCTGTCTCAGTGGCCTCTATTATCTCCTTTTTATTTTTCTAATCACAAGAAACAAACAAAACATGAACACACACACACACACACACACACACACACACACACACACGCACGTATATATTCCTCCTTCCTGAAACAGTTCTGGGATTTTTCAGTGAAATGTTGTTTTTCGGTTGTTTTTTGTTTTGTTTTGGGGGGGTCCAGTCGTGGGGCCTGAACTATAGGCCTGTCAACTGTCCCTCAGCTCATCAGCTCAAGGCTAATGCTCTACCACTTGAGCCACAGCGCCACTTCCGACTTTTTTCTTTTTTCTTATGTGGTGCTGAGGAATCGAACCCAGGGCCTCAGGCATGCCAGGCAAGCGCTCTACCACTGAGCCACCTTCCCAGCCCCTCAGTGAAGTGTTTTTATTCCCCATGTTTTTTATTAACATACATTAATTGTATATGGGGAGACATGCATATGATGCATGTATGCATCTTGATCAAACTGACTCCTCTATTACTCTTCCTTACCTCCTCCCTTCTTTTTTTCCCCTTTGTGTGTGTGTGGGGGGGGGTCAGTGTGTGTCAGTTCTGGGGCTTGAACTCAGGCCTAGGTGCTGTCCCTGAGTTTCTGCTCAAGTCTACCCCTCTACCATTGAGCCAGTTCAACTCCGGCTTTTTTTAGTGCTTAATTGGAGGTAAGAGTCTCTAGGACCTTTCTGCTCAGTCTGGCTTTGAACTTCATCCTCAGATCTCAACCTCCTGACTAGCTAGGATTACACTCAGCACCCAGCTCCCCTTCCTTTCTTAAAATAATACCATAGGCAAGTCACCAGTGCCTCACACCTAGCCAGTGAGGGGAGGACTGAGATCTGAGAATCATGGCTCAAAGCCATCTTGAGCAGGAAAGTATATGAGTCCCAAAAAAGCACCCAAAAGCCACAAATGGAGCTGTATGGTTCAAGTGGTAGAATACTTAGCTTTGAGCAAAAAAGTTCTGAATAGCTCCCAGGCCCTGAGTTCAAGCCCTGGGATAGGCATAAAAACAAAATAAATATAAGCCTGTATCAACATTTAAATAACTTCATCCATACTTTTTCTTCTTTCAGTTATATTTATGAACTCTTTTCATACGAACTCTTTTCATAGTGAGATTGTGGCTGAATTAAATTCTTTCTTCTATCCATGTGAACAAGAATACACATTATACTCATATCATTTAATCCATAAACCTTGCATCAGCAATTTTGTTGCTATTTCTTAGTTTTGGTCTTTATAAGGCCTGCTGATAATCACTTTAAGATGACAACTCAGAGGACATACATCCTTAGTATCTTTAAAAAAAACTACTATAGCTTTTTAGTTAGAGCATAGCTTTAAAGTTGGAATAACCAAAATAAAGTATGACCATTGGACTTTATTATCTTATTTTATTTTCAGGAACTTGGATATTCAGTGTGTTGAATGTTCATTTGTGTGTGTGTGTGTGTGTCTATCCAAACTAAGTTAAATCTATTTTTGCTTAACTCTCTCTCTCAAACATTTCAGAAGTTCTTGATTCCAGAAATCTCTTTTGGCTAGCTGACTGCTCTGTCTCTTCAAAAACTAAATATTTAAAATCTGTTTCTCCCTCATATACATAAATCTATTTTGCTAGTGGAATCTAAGAGATATAGAATGATTTCTTACTCATTAGAAACAATATCTGTATACAGATTTCAGGAAATATATGGTCATTCTAAACATATTTTAGAGATTTTTCTGTTATATAAGCCATATCATTATATTGGCTGGTAACTTTATAGCCCCAGCCTACAAAGTTAGCTTTGTAATTTTCCTTCACGTATTGGGTAAATAATACAAGTAAAATTGGGGTTTTGGAGGTCTTGAGTCATTTTACAAGTATGCCATATCAGTGAATTTGAATTTTAAACACTGAAATGGATCATAGATTCCCATAATAGAAGGCAAAGAGGCTTCAGTATTTTCTTTCTACTTCATATTAAAGTATAGCCAACCCACATAGAGAAGAGTGCATATATTATACCTGACTCCATGAGTTTTCAAAATGGAAAATATGTATGTCATTCCCACCCTGGATTTAAAAACAAACAAACTAGAGCATTGGTAACTCTCTAGAACTACTCACCCCCTGCAAGGCCACTAAGTGAAAACATTTGTATTTGAGTCATCTTAAGAGTCAGCATTGCCAGGTTCCAGTGGCTCATGCCTGTAATCCTAGCTTCTCAGGAAGCTGAGATCTAAGGATCACAGTTCAAAGCCAGCCCTGGCAAGAAACTCCGTAAGACTTTCATCTCCAATTAATCACAAAGCCAGAAGTGGCACTGTGGCTCAAGTGGTAGAGTGCTAGCCTTGAAGAAATAGAGCCCAGGCACACTGTTCAAGCCCCAGGACTAGCAAAAAAAAAAAAAAAAGTCAATATATCACTGAACTCACTACCCTAAGTTATAAAAACATATATTTATTTTACTTACTTTAATATTTAAATAAGTGGAATGAGGTAATATGAACTCATTTTTTCTAGCTTTGTGACACTACTTTATGTGTATATGCATATATCTTTATAGTTTTACCTTGTTCTTATAGGTACAAAAATGAATATAACTGCATGTATCTATTAGATAGGTTTTGGCTATTATGAATAGTGTTCCTATAAATTCTCATACATCTTTATCTTGGTTTCCTCTGTGTGTGTGTGTGTGTGTGTGTGTGCAAGTGTGCATGGGAGCCAATCCTGGCATTTGGACTTAGGACCTGGGCACTGTACCTAAGTCTTTGTGCTCAAAAAGAGTGCTCTACCATTTGAGACATAGCTTCTGGCTTTTTTGAGGGGAGGGGTAGTTAATCGAAGATGTGTCTTTCATGGACTTTTCTGCCCAGGTTGGTTTCAAACTGATCCTCAGATCTCAGCCTCCTAAATAGTAGGATTACAGGCATAAGCCACCAAAATCCAGCTGATTTCCATTATTTTTTAATGAATCCCTGCCTTTTTGTTGTGTGTGAAACTCGGAATAGAACTGATGAATCATAGTCCAGAGTTATATTTATTTTAATAATTACCAGTTTTCTAAATTGTTTAGTTGCTCTGTATTCTCTCCTACATTTGTCACTCTTTTTTTACATTAGCCATTCCAGCAAACCTATAAAGTTGAATACTTTTATCCAATAGCCTTTTGAAATTCACTCACTGATTATAACAATTTGTGCATCTTAGTAGATTTTCTATGAACACTAATTTATCTGCAAGTGCAAATACCTTCTTTTTGAACTTGCATACCTTTTTGTGGCTACTTTGCCTAAATGGCAATAATAGGAGACAGCGAGCTCCTGTTCTATATATTGTGAAGAATTAAAGATGTATAAAATCAGTTTTAGCCCCAGAGAGCTTTAAGTAATTTGTGAGAGCATACCAAATCTTAGATGTTGATAACATTAATTTAAAGATATATTTAGTATTTGAGTGAGGAATTAACTGGCCTGCATCTTTTCTAAGGAAATAGAAACAGGAAATAATTCCTGTTTCAAGAAATAGAACAGAGGTGAAACATCAGACTTGTTTGAAAAACATTATCCAGAATAACATATGAAAACAGTAGTAAAGATAAGACTGCACAGTAGAGTTCAAATTTAATCAAGAAAGATCTTGATTGCCCACCTAAAGATTAGACTCATTCTGTACAATTCAATTCTACAGATTAGGAAATGTATCTTAAGAGGACATGACCTGCCTTTAGTGATACTAAATCAGAACTGGGAATTTATAATAAAGAGAATATAGTCTTCCTGATCCTTAATAAATTTTCTGCCCCTTTCTAGTTTATGTGACCATTATACTAGTGTTACTTTATAGTCATAAAAATTTTGTCTTGTATTTTAAACATTATATATCTCTAATTATATTTTTCAGATGTAAAACTAAATTGGAAAAAGTAGAAAAAACAATTATTCTGTGGCCATGACAGATATAACAGGCATTCATGTAACATGATACTGAATGCTAAAACAAGGTCATAGGGCACTAGAGAAAAGGAAACAAGCAATATACTACCTCAGAGTGATGAATGTGAGGGGAAACATCTTATATAGTCTTCTAGCCAGGATATTTATCATTTAGTGTTGAAACCTGATGACATGATAACAAGGTTTATCTATCATAGCCATAGTCCCAAAATCCAATGGAATTACTTTATGATGACATCCTGCTCCTATTGGCTGGGTGCTTTTTTGTTTTTGTAATGTTCTTGTTATTTTAATATTTATGATAAATAATTTCATTAGTCATTATGTATGTGAGTGTGAGTGTTTTCTTGCAATATAGTGCAAACTGGCCTTGATGAGTATGTCAGATATATACTCACTGTGTATCCCACATTTGCCTTGAATTTTATATGCAGCCCAAGCTGGCCTTTGAACTCAATCTTTTTGTCTCAGCTGCTGAAGTGTTGTGATTCCAGGCCTGCACCATCATACCTCATCATACCTTGCGCACCCACACATATATGTATGTATGTATGTATTATGTATGTATACATGAATATACAAGGGTTATCATCACAGTCAGAAGTTCAGAAAATATAAAAGCATGAACAAGTAAGTACTCAGTAGATAAAAGGGTAATTGATAATTTTATTTATGTATTATGTATGTATGTATGTATTTTTGCCTGTCCTTGGGCTTGAACTCAGGGTCTAAGTGTTGTTCCTGACCTTTGTTTCTCAAAGCTAGTGCTCTACCACTTTGAGCCACTCTGGCTTTTTGTAGTTGATTGGAAATATGAGTCCTGCAGACTTTCCTAACCAGGCCATCTTTGAATCCTTATCCTCAGATCTCAGCTTTCTGAGATGCTTTCTCACTCACTTC